ATATGTGTGAAAGTATAGAGAAAGTTTCCTATAATTAGAGCAAGAGTGAATTTTGAAAATATTATAGTGAAAATCCCATTTGAAGGTATGATTTTCTGGAGGTTCACATTATGTTATAATGCAGTTCGCGTTACTCGTTTTTTTATGAATTCCTTTACAGACTTCTTCATCGTAACGTTTTATAGTTTTATATAGCGCGTGATTCTTGCATAAAGAATTTACTAAGTAAATTGTAGAGTAAGAAATAAAAGAAACACACAAGAGAGAATATTTTTACATGAAGCAAGAAAAACACGATGCTATTTTCAATGCAAAATTAACAAAGCCTGAGATGAGCAAAATAATTTATCCGGTGCTCGAGAAGATACTAATAAACGACAAGCAGCTTATTATTTTCACAGTGAAGTCTCACTGCGTCTATATTATATTTAGTACACTCTAAGTCTCTAAAACTTACTATTATAGTAAATACAAACTTAATGTAAAATTGTCCGTTCTTGGATGAAATCTTTGTAGGTTTGCAAAAGAACTTTACAGTGTCGAAGACAGAGGCAGCATTGTAAATTATATTATGTTATTCCGTAAAAAAAATAGTTTCTTCATTTTGCCCTGCATAAATCCGTTTCTGAAGTCCATCGCGCTCATAGGCGAACGGCCAGATACTATCACCTTCTTTATCGAGACCCAGCTTGGGCCTTTACACGTTACGATTAGTACATTGCTCTTTTTATCAAATCGCACGAAACCTGGAAGAGAGTTTCTCACATTAATCACGCACGTCTTATTCAGAAATAATTACATTTTCAGATGAATAATTTTTTTCCTAGGAATAAACTGAGGGTTTAAACAGCGTTTCAATTGTTGGAATTAATTTAGTGCCACACTGAATCAGTACAGGGGTAAATGGTAACGATCTATATCACCTGGTACATCATCGTCCTCCGGATTCGTTCCGTCAATCGGTTTCGACACCTGCCGAACGTCAAACAATTTTATCGCTGTGTCACGGAACTTGGTCGTTAACGGATGCAATCCTAACAGACCGCGATGCAGGTCATACACATTCTTCGCCGTCATTTCGTCCCATTTGACCAAAGAGATCTTTGATGTAACTTTAGGTGCTACAATGTGTATAATTGTCAAAAAAAATATTAATGAGAAAGAAATTCAAATACTTTAAACACTGATTGTATTGTGTGTTGTTTCTAGTACAGCAGTAAAGTCAAGTTACCATACGTTATGCCTATCCTTTCCTGAGGCCTCGAGGACGATAATATATCCGGCAGTTTTCCTATCGTACTAACTAGAACTTTTGCTCCTATTCTTGCTAACTTCGCGTGCAGTTCTGGTAATGTTTCATCTGCATGAATATTTATTCTCTCCTGCGTTATTACCTCTCCAATATCAAACCTGAAATAACAAAGCAGCTCATGAAGAACCGTTTATATATTACTCGAGTAGTGTGATCCCAGATAATATTAAAATCATATGATTCATTTATCTAACATTAAGTGAAAATATGAATATATTTAAAATATATATTACATACATAAAAAAAATCAAATTTAATGTCACTTGCATAAATCTATATCACCTGGCACCTCACCTCTCGGTCCAAATATTACAGAAAGACATGGACTTAAAAAGAAAGATTATACTTCTCTGGCATTATTTTCATGATTGTTATTCCTGTTTCTGCATCTCCGTTAATTAAGGAATAGATTATTGGGGCTGCTCCTCTCCATCGTGGCAGTAAACTAGCATGAACATTTATCATACCGCTGTAACAAAAGATAACGTGTAGTAGAATAGGATCTATATTTGAGAAATGAACAGAGCAACTTACAGTGGAAAAGAATTTATAATATTTAATGGTATCAGATGTCCAAAGGAAACAACTATCCCAATGTGAAAATCCTGTAGATTATTTTCAAGAGGCCATTCCTTAACAACAATTCCCTTCTCCTCTGCATATTGTATAACAGCATTTTTTTTCTGTTTACGTACCGACACAACTTCTAATCGACGTAGTTTTTTGGCTCTGCTATACAGAACATGAATTTCAGTTTGATGTATAATAAATTTCACGAATCAGAGTCTTATTTGAGAAGATAAAGAAAAATTCTCCAATTTCAGGCTGCATTCTTGGAAAATATATTACTGTTCATAAGAATGTAATAATCAGAATCGATAATTAATTATCGATGGAGTCGGTACTAACTATTCATCGTATAAACTTTGTAAACTCGTAAGAGAGAAATTATCTGTCCCGAAAAATAACACATTCCATGGTCCACGTACTGCAGAAGAATATGACTGTCTTCTCCAAACATATGCACTGTACGAAGAGGTTATCTCACGCAATCTCACATTTCTCTTGAATGTTGTGAGTAAGTATGAATATTTCTTTATTATATGCGTTGGCAAATTAATATTCAACATATCGTATTCTCACATCAATGATTTATATGCATATTAACAGTACCGAAATGTGGAAACGTTCGTACGTTCTTTGGCATCACTTCCAACATATCTACATGTATGTGCTACTTATATACAGGGTGTCCCGGGATTTAACCGGCAAACTGCGGGAGCATATTCTATAAGTGGAAATAAGGAAAAAATGTCATATGAAGTTTAGCTAGAAACGTTTTATTACAAAGTTATAAACAAATATTGAAACGGAACATGAAATAGGCAACAACGAAGATCACGCGGTAAAGCGTGTGCGTAACACGAGAAACGGAGCGAGAGATGTCAAGAGGTCGAACCTGTTTACCTTATCTGTGTATTCACATCATGTCTATTATCTGTAATTTTAATGAATTTTTATTTAGAGAAATAAAAACGAGAAAGAGTTGATAAAACAAGCGCTAAAAAAGATAAATATAGATGGTGCATAAATAAAAAAGCCAGGGATCTTTTTTGTAATATCCTTTATTACATACATTTGTTTTAGACTTTACTTCGCATCGGTATGTAACGAATTAGTCATTGTTAATAATTACGTGAATTAGCATTCTTTCGTATAAATATTTTTGTGATGTTCCTTGTTTAGTATAATTGTTATAATCGTCTCGATACAAATGCATTATAAAATAATCCGGATGACACTCTCTAGGCCAAGCTTAAAATATCGTTCGCAAGGACATGATCACCTGGATAATTGAAAAAGAAAACGTAATGTATAGTAATAAATATAGAATGGCATTAAGACATTTTCTTTTTCAAAGACCAGAGCAATTAAAATAACGAACGAATCGGACCCACAATGTAGATTATCACCAAGCGAATACTGTATAAATATAAATTTTTTCTTTCAACCATCTGCACTCGTCTGAACTATAAAACTAGCTTGAGTTTTGCAATAAATTTCCAGCGAAAATATTCGAAGTCAAGCGATAAAAAAAGTCCAGGAAAAAATCCACGAGTGACAAATTGTTTCGGTTAAAATTAATTTCATTTCAAATTGCACGAGTAATAGCTTCATATGTTCTATCAAGTGTCCTTCTCGTTACGTCAAACTCAATCTGAGTACAAAAAAGGACTCGACAAATAAAATACACAAATGATTATCGATATACAGAAATTTGTCTATACAATAATATAAACTACTAAATTCATTTTTTTAAATAAAATCTCATAACACGAATAAAATTTAACTCAAACTAAGAATTATATATGAAAATACTATTTATCGGACTTGTATATGATATCGAACAATAATACAATTCATTTCTATAAGCTATAATACAATTTCAACAGAAAATTTCAGTATATCGAGAATCATCTTCACACCAGTAAAAAAATCGAGATTGTCTTGATTAAAATGTTGTAGAATGTAACGCATATAGCTGCCGGAGAATAATAATTTAGATTCTAAATATACGCACGATCAACTAAATTGCCCTTCCTAATAGCAACGCGGATTATATATCTTCTCTAGTTCTTATTTTCTCTCAATTACAATGAAGTAGTATGATTAAAACGTCTATACATAAAAATACTAAGGAACATCCGATGTACATAATCCGCATTCTCGAGAGCTTTTAATTTGTAAAAAATATTGCTAGTAATCGGCGTTTTGATCGGCGTTTGGATCAAAACAATTTACATGTAGATTGTCCAGATATAACAATTTCTGGCATACTTTATATACGAATAACGCGAGACATAGTCGAACACGATTTGATATTACTTGAGCCTCACATTCTCTTGATCGATGGGAATTAGTGAGAATGTGTCAGTTAATCGCCTGTGTAACTTCTTTTCCCACAGCTACTCTCTCTCTCTCTCTCTCTCTCTCTCTCTCTCTCTCTCTCTCTCTCATTGCACGTGTTCAAGTTAAAAAGGGGAATTACGCGACTGAGATATTGAACTGGTGTTACTTACTTGTCCGCGTGTAAAGTATTGCACTAAAAACACCGGCGATTCGCGATGACAATGGATTTTTGTCGGGGTCTCTCGCCGAAAATCGTCACTTCGTCACACACTGGCAGTTTACGTATTAATGATATGCCGTTTGAAAGTGGATCTACGAACCGTGACACGACGAATGATAGATACATCGAAATCTTATCTAATTGTAACCCACTCATTGGAAGTGCGAGCGTTAATTATATTCACCAAGCAGGTAATTAAATAGAAATATAAAATCTATCTGTCTAATCCGTCTCTTTTACTGTACACTCTAATATTAACTTGGCACTTGTATAGCTATACGAAAATAAGTTATATATCTGTAATCGATGTGTAAGGAAGAGGGGCTGCGTAAGATCACTTCGCGTGGTGCACAAGCTTCTTAAATCTCGTGAGAGCAAGCGTTCGCTGCATAGATTGGATAGACACACGCCGTTACGCTCTATTATTATTAATATACTGCCGATGGATTTTTCGTTTGTCTCGAGTGACGCGCAAGGTAGACCGAGGAGCGGTGATCAGCGATTTTAATGCAGTACTTCACGGGAAAATATTTCGTTTCAGCAAGCATGATATGCATCCCATTAATTTCGCGACACTATTATCGAAAGCGTTGCCGATCGTTACCTTTATACACGAACAGTACGAGGACACTTTGTCGACTCATGTGAATTTCGCCGGAATCACCGGTACCGATGATCCGGAAATTAACGAGAATCGTTGCGCAAGATGCAAGGTCCGTTACAAAAGTTGCATTCTATGAACTGTTGAAACCTCCCTCTCTCTCTCTCTCTCTTTCTCTCTCTCGTCCGCACTGCTTGTACATACACCGTTATTAAAAACATGATTCTGTCTTTCTTAAAAACTCGTAAAAGAAAGATAATCTTCAAGGCGGATATACTAAACGTACGATGTGCATCCTCGTATAAAATTAATTGACCTTTTCCTAGGAATCTGATCGCTACACAACGTCAGAATCGCGGAAAGGCTTTTGTATATAACAAGGCCTATTCGTTTAAGACACTTTTAAGGGAGCAGACGCACAGAAAGCATGTTCCGTTTTGGGTTTCGCCGGTTCTGCTCTATGAAGATCTCGTTTTATATTACATTAAAATAGATAAATTTTTTCAACTACTTAATTCCTCCGTACTACTCGTTCGCATACGTCCGCTTTTATAAAAACCTATAAATGGCAACTTCTCTACTACTTTCACAGCAGCTGTAATACCTACTTTTTTGGCGAGTTCAGTAATCTTACTCTCTCCTTCTCCTCCTCGCTGATGAAGATTCTAGTAATCACTATATCACCAGTGCTAAGCGTTTGACAGGCCACGCTAGTCCCAATAGCTGCCTGCGGGCTGTCGGTCTTGTCGCCTTGGCAGGAACAGACGCATTTAGTAGGAGATGCCTCTGCACTGTTGGCGGAAAGCTGGTCAGTCGCGGAGCTAGTGACTGCCGAGAGTATGGCTTCCAATTTCTCAATCTTCTCCAGCCTGTCCATCCGACCGTCCGAAAGTATCTCGTCCACCATCTGCATCGATTCCGTCAAGCTTGGAGTATCGGCGTTGCGTGGCGACAGTATACCACCTGAAAGTCGCGATTCAGAATCAAACAGTGTTCGTTAGAACGCGGAGGAACTGACTCGCTCACGAAATAATTCATCTAGAATGATCAACTGTAAATACACGCTCGACACGTTGAATTTGTACAGTTAATAAAGAGCCGATGATGAGAAACGAGGTAAGAGATATGTATCTCGAATTACACTGCCACATTGTACTTTTGATATTTCAATTATCAGCTAAGCTTTTCTACAATTAATGGAAGTCAGTCCGGCAGTCAACATGTTAATTAGACTTCCGATTTTTCACGCGTTCGGCTTCGATTTAAAACAACTAATCACTCTTGTATACTTCAGCTTTATAAGCACTGATGAAATTGTTCTTTTTGCAGCGTGACAATCACTCGTACCAGAATGAGAATTTTCCGAAGTGTAGCTTTCCATGCTGGGATATTCCACGTCGTCCGTCTTATCCTCGTCATCGTCGTCGCTGCTGTCAGCCTTATCCTGGCCCATATTTTCCAACTTCTCCAGTTTCTTCGCAACTTTATGGCTCCCCTTGAGCTTCTCCTTCTCGTCCTCGGTAAGATCCAAGTATCGAAGGAGCCGAATCTCGCGATTACTCAGTACGATGTTCTTGCTCGTCGCTTCCTCCATTCTCTTTTTCAAATCCGCCACCTCGGTCTCGACCTTTCGCTGTTTCTTGCGTGCTTTGACCTCCGCCGGTCTTATGTGCATCTGAATCTGTTCTTCGCACAGCTCTGCAAACAGACCTTGTACCTCCGGCTTGATGAGCCTGTCGATAACGCAAAAATCGCTGTTAGAAATCTTGCCACTCGCTACTATCGGCACAACTCCGTGAATATCTATTAATAGAAGCACGCACATACCTGGACATGGCATTGTAGACCTGAGGCACAAGGCTCAGAACGTCGCTACTCGCGTAAATCAACATGTCGCGAGTCATCGGTCGCCGGGACCAGTATCGTTGATCCTTACGGTAGATGTTCTTCAATTGTTCTTTAAGTGGATTACACGGAGCACCATAATGATCGCACAATGTATTCAGATTAACGTTTTTAACTTTGTACACAGGCTTCCCCGTTTCTTGAAACTGTAGTACTGCATGAGCAGCCTATATATGCAAGATATTACATCTTCATAGATAAAGTGATTCATGTGTATAATATACATATAAATAAATATATACATGACATAATATAATTACGAACAGACATGAAAAAAACGAGGGATATTACCTGTGTATCAAAAACATTCGTCAACATAATTTTAAACTGATTGTACAGATTGACACTATCGTTCCTACAGTCATGAATCACCTGCAAAAACAAGAGCGATTAATTAATTATCAAGAGCGTGTCATTGGCACGACACACGGAGTGTCCCAGGTTTTACCAGGCAACCTCAACGTACTGCGTTAAGCAAAAGTGGAGGGAGAAACGTTACTGTTGTCTGTGAAACTCCAAAGGATGTCAGGAGGTCTGTAAATCTTGTGACACTCGTTTAGAATCGGCCGTTCTCGCAACGTTACCTTGACGACATTCTTATGTTCCAGCAGCTTCTGGAGACCTCCAGCTTGAACGAGACTCGGACACGTGAACAGATCGAACACGTACGCCTGGCCGCTCATCGTACCGATCTGGACGAGGGTCAACTGGCCCTTGACGCCGAGATTGATGCCCTCGCAGTCGAACGAGATAACCACCTTGCCGTCGGGAGGCGGCTTCCGAGGATTGATTATATCCTCTATGATCTGAAGACTGTCCCTCGGCGTCGCGATCACCCTGGTCTGCTGCAGCACCTTCAGTTTCCAGGCGTCTCCCATCTGCGCGGTTTGCAGACTGCGGTCGCGCTCCGTGTTGTCCGCCAGGGTCTTCATCACGAGCGTGTTGATCCTCTGCTTGAGGGTCTGCTGCTGCAGACTCACCGGTGGCGAGTTATTATTGCTTTCGACGACGGGCGGTGGAGTGGTGTACGCGTTCTGCAGCGAGTTCGGCTGAGTCGAATTGTTGCAGACGTTCTCCGGCGGCGGCAGCTGCGAGAACTGGATCTTGCTCGGTGGGATGATCGGCAGCGAGTTCGTGTGCACAGTCAAGCTGTTATTGCTCTGACTGCGGACACCACCGCCGCTCGAGGCCTTCGTCTTCGCGGCTGAACCCGTCGCCGATTCCGGAGCGACGGAAGATTTCGACCGGTTGATCAACGTCACCAGGTTGCTCTGCACGTGAAACGCGTCCGGGAACATCTTGATGAAAGTCGACAGGTCCTGCGGCGTCTTGAATATGCACATCCAACTCTCGTGGGAAAACTTGTCGTTGACCATATTGTACAGCTGGTCGATCAGGATCGGGCCTTTCTGCTCGATGCACACGCAGAAGAAGTCCAACAGCTTCGCCGTGACCTCCGGGTCGATCGGGATGTCCGGCTCTAACTCCAGCAATCGCTCCAGCTTCATGCCCTCGTATTGCTTCAATATCACGTTATCCTCCGTGACTACGAACGCGTCGGGATACTTGAGGAGGAAGTCGCGGAACTCCTTGTAGTGCTGACCGGATATATGCCTGACCTCCGGCGAGGCCTGCGATCGGTGGCCCAGGAGGCTCTTGATAGGCACTTCGATGCCCATGCCGTATTGCACCAGCTTATTCGTAAAGTATTCTACGGCCTCGCGGGCGTAATCGCGCTTAATTGCGTTCTTGCTACCGCTCTCCTCCTCCACAACCGGTTGGAACGTATTAACGGACACGTAATCGCCGTCGATCGCGAACAGAGCCGGATATTGCGATAGAAACTTCTTAAGGCCACTTTGTGAACCTCCCGCTATTTGCCGCATCTCCTTCGTAAAGCCCTTGGCCCCGAACTGGCAGCTCAGATCGTGCAATGTGCGTGGGCCACCTTTGTCCATCAGTCGCTCGAAGAAGAAGAGGAGAGTCATGTTCCTGATCGTCTCATATTCCGAGCTGTCCATCTTTGATGCAATTGTAACGGTAAAAAATTTATACTTGTACAATTTCTCCTCAATGTCAAGATGCTTCCTGCAAAAAGAAGCGCGATTAACTCAGTTGCAAATGTTACACTGCACTCACGTGTGACTTATGAACAGTAATTATGTTAATTTTATTGAGAACATAAATGTTTGTTACATGAAATGTATGAAGCATACGTGCGCAATGCTTGATAAAATGTTAGGAAATCTTGTTGCTACTTCCAGAATATATCAGATATGTTTTACAGATAATTTGTAATGTACTCACAGTCATAGTAAAATTAAAACACCAAGGATAAAGGCACATCACTAGGCTATCATCATTTTTTAGTTATGCCTTTACAAAAAATATATTGAGTATTTGTTGACGATTGGTAGATATGATACTGTCGAAATTGAGCGATTTCCAATTGAACTTAACAATTATAGCCAGCATAATGGAGGAAAAGGCAAATCTGAGGAAACATAATCTAATCTAAGCCTTGTATCATAATATATCATAATCATTATCTCAAATCTATTGAGATTATCTTATTGCACATAAATTTTTGAAGAACATCATTAAAGAATTCAGTATACCTTAACTTCAATGTGGATGAAGATGCATTACGATAATTATAATGTGCCTTCAGTCATTGTCAACTGTTCCTTTTAGAAACGATGCATTATAAGATCTTCCTCCTCCCCCACCTGTGGACAATAATAACAAATGATAACAAGAGGAACTTAGCTGAAAGAGGAACATTGAAAAGGTTTCCCACATCCGTAGTCTGACTGAACAAATACGTAAGGCTTATCTCGCAATTGGCGATGAAAACATTCGCAGTTTTAACGACAAATTTCACCGCTGGGAAATTCTGAATGACGTCTCGCAAACAAGTGTCATTATCGCGTTTCGTATTCGAAACATGTGCGTTCACACGATCTCGATCATACGACAGCACTCTCGGTTGCGGCCCACCTGGACGGCTGGCCTTCGGGAATAAATCTCGCGAATTTGCATCTCGTTAAGAAACGGTGACGGTCGCAAGAAAAGCTAGTGTTTCTCGACGTTGTAGTTTTTATAGGTCATTCAATTCTCGTTTGTTCTAGCCGACGGAGAAGCGGAAAAGAGAACCGCGCGACTTCCTGACGGTCATCCGGAGGATCCAGTGATCTTGTGACCACTTTTTCCTCACCGACTCGCCGTAACGACACTCCCCGCGGGACAAATATCGCGGCGTACCTTGGCAGCGACGTACAGCAGAATCGCAGCTAACCCCAACGCGATCCACTTATTCTTTCGTCCATGCAGGTATATCCAATGGATTGCTCCGCTTGGGAGGGACACCGTCAGAGGGATCTCCGTGCACAATTGACGTTGACAACAGAACAGAGAACCCTGCCCCAACATCACGTCACGCACCTCATTACGTCCTTAATTAGTGCGGCCGTGCTTATCTAAGCGAGCTTTTAATTGTTAGCAATAGGTACACAAGTCTATTTTCGAATCTCTGTTCGATTACATTGTTGAAAGATAAAAATCTATTCGATAAGCTGTTCAATGTCTTTTTACATAAAGCTAAAGGATCACTTTCTTTATCACGACAAATAAACAGGAATCGAGCAATAACTTAGGCAAAATTATGAGATGGTTCAAATGTTTTACAGCTCGAAGTCTCTAGTTTTTCCTTCTTTAAAATGTATCCATCTATTTTTTTATAAATATATTATTTTAAAAAATAAAAACTCAACTAAAAGGTGTTCGAAATTGAGTGGTCGTCAATTTTCGTTTAACTCAATATAACTTGACGAGAAACGACAAAAAAAATTTGGCATTAATATTGTAGAAAACCGAACACTTTAAAATGTAAAATACTTTCCGAACTATCTCGATAGCATTATTTTTATCGAAGTTACCCTTGAATTTGCTCATTTCTCAAAATAGAGTAGAGGTACGACTGACTCGGCATTGAAAAGTCTACTTAAAAAATAAAAGTACGTCCATCGTTAGGTTGTATCACAATTTCAATTCTTTGTTAAGCTATGTCTACAATAGGTGCAGTGAGTCTTAAGCTATAAGAAATTGACCAATCACAATCGATTATTCTTCACACATTCGACTGTGATTAGCCGATTTCTTACGGACGTGAACCTATTGTAAACATCTACACCTGTTGTAAACACCGCTTCAAGGAAAGTGGCGGCTCGTAACGTGGACTTTGGAACTAATTTGCAACATCACACACAAAATAACGGGTCTGATTAACAGACCCCTTATTTGTAATGCAAATAAAGGGGTCTAAGGGACCCGTTATTTCTACGTATGACATTGCGAATTGTATTTTACATCGAAGAACTAATCGATTCTTTAATTAAAAAATTTAATCGAATAACGATTCATCGTTCAAACGTCGTCCATCGTTCTAGCGTGGATAGAAGCGCGTGGCAGTTGTACGTACACGCATGCGCTACCACGTACGATAGTGTGGCTGACACTTTGCCAACAAAACCCGCTCGCGCACGCTCCAGCTAGCTCCAGTTAGCTACAGTGCCTTTTGGAGTCAGGCAGCGTTGTTGTTGTTGTTATTATTTTCTGCAGTACTGTACTATCACTTTGCACTTGACACGATGTCATCTGGCGGTTGGGAATTGGTCGGTAAGAAGAAAGACAAAACGAATGGCAAGGCGAACAAACTTACGAAGGCGGAGAAGAAGAAATTCATCGAGAACGCGCCAAAAGTCGAGGACTTTTGTGAGTCTTGGTTCCCTCATAACCTGCCGCTTGTCACCTCGCTCAATTTAACCTTAATTTCGCTCCGATTGTTGCAACCTTATCGATTCGGTCGCGAGACATTGTTATAAAAATAGTACGGTCAAAGCGGCATCCGGCCGGCTTGTCAATCGCGCATGAAATCTTTAGAACGCGTGGGTAGCAATATGGTACCTATATGTACGTCATTCGCTAATGTTCATTCTGCTATTGCACTTTGTCACCGTAAAACAGATTGCAGATTTTCATTGTAACTATAGTTTTCAAGGCTTGGAAGAAATCGGGGTTTTTTCAATTTTCCCGCGATTTTTTTCAACTTCTCCGCGGGTGAATGACAAAAATGGAAAAAACCCAAATTTCTCTATTTTTCCACGGATTTCTTCGGTTACTTTCCGAGCAAAAGTTGAAAAAACGTTTTTTACTATAATTGCGTTTTTTACTATAATTTTTACTATAATATGATTTTGCTATAATATTAAACTATAATTGTAACACAAAAGTAAACTACTTTGAATTGCAATAAGTCGAAATATTAAAAAAAATTGGTTTGATAGTGTTTCTTGTAAATAATTATTTAGTCTGTTCTTATAGCTGCACTGCTGAACTGGTGCAATAAGTTAAAGACAAGTATATTTCGTCTCACTCTTATTGCAACCGTTCAGCAGTACAGCTATAAAGAACAGACCAAACAAGTTATACTGCTCTGATAAATAAACTGACTTGATTTATTTGTGATTTTAGTGCCACTGAGTCAAGTAAAGACACTGTACGACAATCTAGATGGTAATAAGGAGACCAAAAAATCTCCCAAGGCAAAGGAACATAAGATGAAAGAGAATGAAGAGAAAAAAAAACAGCAACAGCAGAAGCAGCAGCAGGCTGAGAAGAAGAAACAGGAACCAAAGGAGAAACCTCCAAAAAATATAAAAGACGCATTGAATGCGGTAAAAAGCTGCTCTCTAAGAATTCGGAATTAATCTTGGATTATAATAAAAATGTTTCACAAAAATAGATACACGTTAATTTGTACACTGTCTTATATTAATAAATCCTTTGCTATGTTTGCAGATCGATGTGAAAGAGCTTAATAATGTGCTGGCGACCTCACAGGCCAGATATCCGGAAGCTCCGTTGATCTGGCTGAAGAACCTCGCGGCATTCCTCAATGTTAAAATACCCATCGACAAGGAGGACGCAATTTTCTCAGGAAAGCCCAAGGACTATCCGTTGAGTTTAGTACCTAAGGCAATCTCTTCTACGTTAGAACGCGTGGTAGAAATGGCGGGCCAACAGTCCGTCCAATGTTTCTACGAGAGCACTCTCACGTCGATGGCCATCGACATGGTCAAGGGAATCCCCGTGGTTGGTCACAAGATATTTTTGCAGCTGCTGGCGCACTTAAATCCCGAGATGACCGCCGCAAACATTCCCAAGCTGACCACAATAAGGAACTCTTACGAGAACAGGAAAAACGTCGGTCTGTCCCTGCTGTGGGCCTGGTCGCAGGCCGGCAGGAAGAACCTGGCGGTCGGCTTGAAAATCTGGCACGAGTTGATGTCGCCGATGCTGGATATGAAGGGCTACGCGAACTACGTCGTGCAGATCTTGAACGACCTTGTCTTCGGCCACGACAATGTTCGCGATCTCAGTTTGGACCTGTACCTGGACATCATCACGGAAACTTACTCGAATAAGTTCAGCAACCAGCCGGTGAATCTGGTGGCAGAGATCGGCGCGAGTATCGATAAGCTGAGAGTAAGTAATAACGACATGCGCGAGTCGCTTAACACGCCGTCGCGTTGCTCGTGCGATCACCACGATCGCGAGAGCGATACCCGTTCAAGCTCGACTCGATGCGGCGGCGGCGGCTGGACGAGAATGCGGTAAAATTCCGTGTCTTTTACAGTCGATAGTATTTAAGAACAAGGACATAAGTTACACGAAATTGTTCGAAATGTTGCTCGGGAGAGTGACGCCGAAGTCGCACGCGGACTACAGGCATGAGATAATCAAGGCACTCGCGGATTGCCTCGTCACGGAACCCCGTTGCTTCGCCATATGGGGTTCTATCTACACCACGCACTTGTATCAGTCCAGTCTTCTCTTGCAGTACATCGGTGGGTACCCGCGCCGCTCGCGCGCGTCCTCAGCTGAATCGCGTGTCTCACAGCAGAACTTGTCATTCTTGTAGATGCGAATTTACCCGGTTTGCAGCCGCAGTTGAGGACGAAGCATTTCAAAGAAACTCTCGCGATCTTCCAGAACAGTAACGAGAAATGGAAGAAAGGCAAAGACGAGAGTCTCGCGAACACGTGCAAGCTTACATCTCAGGTGAGTGTTCTCTCCTCTCTCTCCCCTCACCCCGTGCATTATCGCGCGATTTTCGTCGGATCACGAAATCGAGCGATTCGATCAAATCGACGAGCCCGGAGTGCGGCTTAAATCAATTCACACGAGGCAACCCGCAAAGAGTGCGATGGCGCTGAGTAACATACGCATCGTCATCTAATCCGATTAATTTATTGTCCGACGATATACATGCACCCATCTTATTTCTGATTATAATCTGAATTGCGTCGCAAGTCAATTGCAGTATGAACGTTCGCCCGATCTGATATTCTTATCTTTCGCGCCAAGTAAAAGAACAAGTGGCGATATTTAGTAGATAAACGCGTCGCGTCCATGCTTGTTATTCGGCGGAGAAGTTATTTTTCTGAAAAATGCAAATTATCCGTTTATCGGATAAGCGGACAGTTGCTATTTTCTCTTTCACATTTATAGCTCGCCTCATGACGATTTTCAGCGGGTAAATATATTCTCCCTCTCTCTTTCTTTGTTTAATTACGATGTAATGTACAGAAGAAAGTTACAAGCGCGTATCGCCTCGCGCAAAAGTCGCTGCGTACGGGAGGTGATGAACGCCCGGTGAAATTGCAGGTGCGACGATTGCTGATCATTATTAAATCCATTTACGTTGTAAAATGCTCCGTGGACGTTTTTACGCGAGGAAGACGGTGCTCGCAGAAAAAAAGAGAGTTCGCTCGTGCATAAATCCGCTCTCGCGCGTCGTGTTTAATGTAACAAGTTCGCGTGTCTACCGCACTTAATACAACAACTTCTCGTGTCCGGTGAGACGGTACTTCGGTGAGCGCGCGGAGAAAACTTACGCGCTTCGGTGGACAGACGGACAAACAGTTATGGACAATTAAGTTTGGAAAGCGTCACTCTTGCCGAATTCGTTGATCCTCGCAAATCACGAGGCTCGCGCTCGCCGGCGAACCATGTGTCCGGCAACGACAAACAGTCTCTTCGTTTTAGCTGAACTAGTTCGAGAAATTTGCATGCACATTGAAAGGTATGAAGTGTACGTACAAGATCCTCACGCTTCAGTATGTGTAAATTTCTTGAACTAGAGCAACCAGTTCAACTAGAAAGAATAGACAAAAACTTCAATTCATGTTCCTGTTATTATAATTTAGATCTAATCTACAGTTAATTTAACGGAATTGATCGATCGCATTGATTAGTTTTGCTAATCGACCAATGCGATTGGTGAATTCCGTTGAATTCATTGTCGGTTAGATTTAAATTATAATTGGTGGAAACAGGTGTCAGTCGCGAACCCGGAGATCGATTGGGTATTTCAAAACATAGTGAGAATTACGAAAGTGAGCGAATTGATTAGAATATTTATAAATTCATTAGTCAATCGTTCATTAGTCAGATAGTAAATTTGTTCATTTTTGTAATTTTTATTATTACGTTTTGAGATATATAATCGACCTTCTGTAAGCCTATATACTCGGAAACATCATACTGATGGTAGAGTGACATTTAATTAACCAATCAGGACAAAAAGATTTCTTCGTCATGATTGGTCAATTAAATGCCACTCTGCTTTCAGTGTGGTGTTTCCAAACACAGACCTGTAAATTCTGTAATTTTTAACGATAATGCCCGTTAAAAAATTTCTCATATATAATTATATATAGAATATGTCCATATAAAAAAATATATAATTATATATAATTATAACAATTCGAATAAAATAATATAATTAAAGTAAAATAATTAAAAAAAAATATATATATATATATTTCTGATATGATCATACATAACTTTCTCTGTATATCACCACTTCACATATAATTATATATTTTTACACATGGACAAATTTCATACGTAGCCCGTAGAGGGCCTATATTCTGAACTCTCTTTCACCGATAAAAGTGCTTCTAAAAGTGGCCAAATGGAATCACCTGCTGATTAGCTGAGAAGGCCACATTTGAAGGCACTTTTAACATAGGCACCGATAAGAGAGAATTTAGAATACAGTAGGTCTGTTCGTTTTCGCTGCACCGCTGAACTAGTGTAATAAATTGAAGCAAGCCAAGTATATGTTTTCTCACTTCAACTTATTGCGCTAGTTCAGCGGTGCAGCGAAAACGAACAGACCTAGTGTCTACTGGACAGATAATTAGATACTCCACGTATAAAGTCAAAACGCGACCTTGTTTACGCCAACCTGCATTCCTCCTCCTCCTCTTCGCGACAAGTCCGGATGAAAAAGAAATTCCAAAGTTCAGTAGCATTGCGCGAGTGCGTGCGCGTGCAAATTCGATCGGAATAAATTCCGAGCGCGGGTCAAGTGCGTAGCTTCGCGCGAATTCCGTTATCAGTATCCCTCCACGAGCTCGTTGATGTCATTTGACGCGCGAGCGCGGACGTAGTGGACACGAGTCCCATCTTCGACAAGGAGACGGCGTCACGGTCGCTTCGCAATACCGTCGTAGATTAGACTCGTAATTATTCGTTGCGATCTTCATCAGTGCGATTCAACGCGTGCTTAGTACGCAGTACGCCGTTACCCGCGCGACCGACGACGAAGATCACAGCACGCGATCCGCGTAACGTCCGTAATCCTGCTGTTCATTCAGATTTTCCAAATCCATCGCAGCTGACGTCGAGAGTATACCTGCGCGATAAATATATTACGCGCCCGTCGTGCTCCGCTAGGCGCGAGAAATCGACGATTCGAGTCGCGATCGATCGCGCGTTTACATTTGAGCCAGGTGAAATCGATCCCAGATCAATCACCTGCGTAACAACCACGGCATACATACAGTCAGGATCCTCGACAAGGTAACTCTTTTTATTCCCTCAAGTGCGTAGCTTGCGAACTCGTGAATACGAGTCTCTCTTCCTTCCTCCCTCCCTCCCGCTCCTCCTCTTTCTCTCTTTGTCATATTTTCTTTTCCTCGCAAGGAGGAAAAAGCGCAGTAATGCACTTTCGAGAAGCGCGAGAGCGAATTCCTCGGCTAATCGGAGGTGCGGTGAGCTAACGGTTGGCGCTGTCGTTAAACAGGTGTTGTGAAGCGCAGCTCGGGCGGTTTCGTTGTTTTTCGGCGGCCGCCTGGGGGTGGGGGGGGGCGGCGAAACAAGCGGCGGGCTCGATTCGAACGACGTTACACGCCACGGTACGCAGCAGCGCGCTCGGCAGGTTAGGTCGTTCATTTCGGGAACGGAGCTGGAACGGTTAGACTATTGATCCGCGCTCATCGCCCCCCTCGCGACGCCCAGCCGAGAGCAGCAGCGCGACGGCGACGACACCGTTCATTTGTTCGTTCGTCCGTGCACTTTTCTTTTTTTTTCGACCACCAAGACGCGGAGATCGACGAAAGTAACGAGCCTGTCACGTCTGCCCGGTTTTCCGCAGGTAAGGCCGAGCGCGTCCGTGTCCGCAATCTGATAACGTATCTCGTTCGATTGCGTCGCCGGATTGTACGCGCGAATCCTCCGCGGGTGCATGATCGTACCGAATTGATCGCACGACGAGCGAATTGCTCGGCACACGACGCGGTGACGTGTGCCGTACCAGTGTATCGATAACGGGGCTCATCTCATCGAATGCTCTGGAAGAAACTCCAAAGGATCGTTAACGCGTTATCGGGGACTGATTATCGGTTATCAGAAATTTGCTCCGAAGTTCTCGCAAAAGTCGAAATCCTTGGAACGCGGCTACGTTATTACTTCTCACGTTATATTTTTGCGAGTTGATTAGTGACGAATCAATGAATGAATTGTGTGTATTGCAATATTTCTATTTTACATCACAAATAACCGGTATCCTCGCGAGAAAGAAAAAGCCAACGCGAGAAGTACAAAGAAGTCAGATCCAAGTGTGGTTATCTGTTATGATTGTTATTGTTTTTGTTGCTGATTATTGTCCTTGTCCTTTCAGGCACTATTAAAGAAGATGACTTCCTCCACACGCCGTGGCTTTCCCTGGAGGACAGGCAGTCTGTTTCTGTTGCTAATTATTGGTGCTATTGTAGCATATGACATACAAAAACATGGCTCCTTCCAAGGTAAGGATCTCCTCTGTACACAGTGATATCATTCTCTATGCTTGTGTCTCATGTTTGCTATCATTGTCATCTTTATTTTTCTTCAAATTTTGTCAATTATGGTATTTGTTATGTGGATGTATACTGTTTATTATTCAGGAAGAAAGTTGTGATCTAACATATCTTGTGATGTTCACAACAGTATGATGATCTATTGAGTCATAATTATGGTTGACTGATGAAAATATCCATTGTTACCACAAACATCATCATGTCTAACAACATCCTTCTCTTTATTGCTTCTTTCTTTCTCATCGTTCAGTTTTTCCTTCATTCACTTCTAAATTGTATGGAAATACAAGTTAAAACTTTCTAATTTGATCGATACATTAGCATTTGTGTATTTGTAGCATCCAAAATTGGAATATTCGTGAAAACTAGTGGAATCTTGAAGCATGTTGAGAAGGCATGGACTACTATAAAGTTGTATTCGTCTGCAGGACACCAAACAATTAAGGATAGCTCAGAATATTACAAAGCCGCGGTTGATCTCTGTGTGCCATACGTTAAATTAGCCGGCGATGTCTATGTCATAGTAAAGAACGTTTCGATTAAAATGTACAACAACGCTTTAGTATACGTCGAGAAGAAGACACCCGTGGTCCTGGATACGGTGAGTAGACGGAGAAAATCGGCGAGCACTCGGCAAACACAGCGGGCAAAATATCTCGTAACGATCTTCTCTCTGCTCTTCGCGCAGGTCGAGCACTATCTCCCAGGAATTGTAGATCAGATTCAATCCCGGAGTCTCCAGGCATTAGAGTTTGTGAAAGTTTCTTTCGCTCTGGTTGGAGAGAAAGTCATTGAGCATTCCAGCGCGACGATAGATTGGCTGGGAAAGAACGTCTTCGTGTGAGTACACTTTTGAATTACACGCGGGCTCCCCCCGTGTAGAAATTAACGTGACTATCAGCTTTTCCTTGTGGTCTCTCTCGTTTCAGAGGTAAACTTAGCCCGGAGAATCTCGGAGATTACGCCGTATGGACGATACGCACGACACTATCGTACGCGAGTGAAACGTATGACTGGGTATACGAAAAAGTACAGACTCTCTCGAAAATGCCATGAATAATAAATTCGTCGATTATCCTACGGCGATTCATTGCGTCGGTAACGAGAGACAGAAATCTCATTCCTTCTCTCTCTTTCTCTCTCTCTCTCTCTCTCTCTTTCTTCGAACGTCAGCATTTATTATTTATGACACAGAAGTTGAAGGGTTGCATTAATACTTTTGAAGATCACGAATGCGTCGGCCATTTTACCTGTGATATTTCTAAGAAAAAAAAGAAGAAAAAAGAATATATATACATATACACACACACATATATATATATATATATATATA